CGGTCCCGGAAGGTCCTCTTTTCCCGCGCGCCGCCTCGGGGGCGCAGCCGTCGCTCGGGGTCACGTGAACACACGCCTCGCGTGTCGGGACGTTCAGATAAAGGGGCTCCTCCTACCGCGGGCCCGGGTCAGAGGGCTGACAGACTCACGGCTGACCATGGACCCGTCTGGGGCGTTCGGTTCCAGTGGAGAAGCAGGAAACCAAGCGTGCTGACGGGAGGTACATGATCTGTGTGTAAGCCTCCGGGCCGCTCTCGTTATTCCGTCAAGAAATATATCCTGTAAACCCTTCATTTTTTATGACCGTACCAGACGCAACGCATGCGACAGGGAACAAGGCAGGCACTTCGGGAGTTCACAGTCTGTTGAAGAAGACCGACAAGGAAACAGAATTGAGATGCGTTGTGAAAAAATGACTACAAGAATGAGTTCTTGACGGGCGTCGTAAGAGCTCCGGGGAGACACGGGGGAGGAGGTCTAGAAAGGCTTTAAGACGACGTCTGAGTGACACGTGAAGAGACGATGTAACGAAGGAAGAGTACCTAAGTAAAGGAAACGAGATGGAAAAGTCCAAAGACGCTGTCGCGTTGAGCATTGGGGAGGTGGTTCTATGCCGCAGGGATACGGGAGTTGCCAGGAAGATGGTGAAGAGTTGAGGTGAGAAGTAGGCAGAGAACCTTGTGAATCTAGTTGGTGCTGTTTCAAAGTGTGGAGCAGGTGGGTTGTTGTCTTCTGAAAGCCTTATATTCTACAGATTTTGTCTGTCAGAACTCAGGATTCATTTGGATCCTAAATCTTCCCGGTACCAGAATGCTCTGAGTGCGACATTTATTGAGAGCGGTGGTATACAGCGTGCAGAACTGATAATACTCCACAATATAACAAATTCCTGAAAAACGAATTGAAAATCAACAAATAGTTGTTGATTATCTAGTGTGTACATGGAAAGCAATAGAATATAAGCAGTTACCCCAATTGATTAATAAAATAACTATTACACCAAGTTAAAATTGGAAATGTTTCTGAAACAATTTCAAGTAGTAATTCTTCATTCTTAAAACTTAAATATTGATACAATATGCTATTTACAAAGCCTTGTATATGCATTTTGATTCTCCCAGCAGAGATAGGCAGGTGATATTAGTACCTCCATTCTTTAGTTGAAGACACTGAAATTTTTTTTAAAGCAAGGAAGAAAAAGGAAAAAAAAGACACCATATCCAAATACGATTACAGTCAGCTAATAAGAAATACCATGAGGATTCAAGTCCTCTTCCTACTCTTTATACCACATCCTACTGTGTTCTATGGCAGTATTACTATTGTTTAGATGTTAAGGTTAGAAAGGTTGATGGTAGTAAACCTAAATGCATTTGCAATTTAACAGTAAGTTTTATAATTTATTTGTTAACTTATGTTAACATTTCAACATCATTTACATACAGTGGTCTCTTTTCTACTAGCCCTTTTTCTGGAATATCTAAAGATCAAATGAGATGATTTATGGTGTTTTCCTTTCTCCTTAAGTGGTAGTTGTCAGTGTCATTAAGCTTTAATGCCAATACTGTTGAAGATTTTAAAATAAAAGTTTAAAACTTTGGACTTTTAAAAAATGTGACGTATATTTAGATGCGAAGCATTAGCAACAAGGAAAAAAATGCAGAAAGCCAGTGGCGTGTATACTGTTTAAACTCTTTAAATTCTTCAAAACTATGTTATATGAAAACATTGATAAACTGGCATGTTCACTAAGTAATGTAATACAAGTATCTTGAATCTTCAACAGAGTCTTTCAGTAGATCCCTTATGCCCGAGTATATGGAATATATATTTACCTTTTTAAAATGTATTTATTTGTTTGGCTGCACTGCATCTTAGTTGCAGCACATGGAATCTTTGTTGCATCATGCACAATCTTTCATTGATGTGCCAGACTCTCTAGCCTGCGTTGTGGCACACAGGCTCAGTAGTTGAGGTGCTCGGGCTTAGTTGATCTGCGACGTGCATGCAGGATCTTGGTTCCCTGACCAGGGATTGAACCTGTATCCCCAGCATCGCTAACCGGATTCTTAACCACCAAGGTTAAGACTTCTTGGAACACCAAGGAAGTCTTGAATTATACATTTTAAACCCCCTTAAGTGTGAGTGTATAGCAGTAAATTTTATGATTTTTCCTACAAGGAGCTTAAAGTTTATGTCCACACAAACACCTGCTAACAAATGTTTACAGTAGCTTTATTCATAATGGCCAAGACTTGGGGCAACCAAGATGTCCTTCAGTAGGTAAATGTATAAAAAAAAACTGTGGTACATCCATAAAATGGAATGTTATTCAGCTAAAAACAAATGAGCTATCAAGCCATGAAAAGACATATGCTTAGTTGCTCAGTCTTGTCTGACTCTTTGTGACACCATGCTCCTCTGGCCATGAGGATTCTCCAGGCTAAATACTGGAGTGGTTTGCTGTGCCCTCCTCCAGGGGATCTTCCCAACCCAGTAATCAGACTCAGGTCTACTGCATTGAAGGTGAATTCTTAACCATCTGAGCCACCAGGGAATCCCTGAAAAGGTATCAGTTCAGTTCAGTCGCTCAGTTGTGTCCGACTCTTTGCAACTCCATGGACTGCAGCATGCCAGTCTTCCCTGTCCATCACCAACTCCTGGAGTTTACTCAAACTCATGTCCATTGAGTCAGTGATGCCATCCAGCCGTCTCATCATCTGTTGTCCCCTTCTGCTCCTGCCTTCAATCTTTCCCAGCATCAGGGTCTTTTCAAATGAGTCAGCCCTTCACATCAGGTGGCCAAGTATTGGAGTTTCAGCTTCAACATCAGTCCTTCCAGTGAACGTTCAGGACTGATCTCCTTTAGGATGAACTGGTTGGGATCTCCTTGCAGTCCAAGGGACTCTCAAGAGTCTTCTCCAACACCACAGTTCAAAAGCATCAATTCTTCGGCACTCAGCTTTCTTTATGGTCCAACTCTCACATCCAGACAAGACTACTGGAAAAGCCATAGCCTTGACTAGATGGACCTTTGTTGGCAAAGTAACGTCTCTGCTTTTTAATATGTTATCTAGGTTGGTCATAACTTTCCTTCCAAGGAGCAAGCGTCTCTTAATTTCATGGCTGCAGTCACCATCTGCAGTGATTTTGGAGCCCAAGAAAATAAAGTCAGCCACTGTTTCCACTGTTTCCCTATCTATTTGCCATGAAGTGATGGGACCAGATGCCATGATCTTAGTTTTCTGAATTTTGAGCTTTAAGCCAACTTTTTCACTCTCCTCTTTCACTTTCATCAAGAGGCTCTTTAGTTCTTCTTCACTTTCTGCCAGAAGGGTGGTGTCATCTGCATATCTGAGGTTATTGATATTTCTCCCAGCAATCTTGATCCCAGCTTGTGCTTCTTCCAGCCCAGTGTTTCTCATGATGTACTCTGCATATAAGTTGAACAAGCACGGTGACAATATACAGCTTTGAAGTACTCCTTTTCCTATTTGGAACCAGTCTGTTGTTCCATGTCCAGTTCTAACTTGCTTCCTGACCTGCATACAGGTTTCTGAAGAGGCAGGTCAGGTGGTCTGGTATTCCCATCTCTTTCAGAATTTTCCACGGTTTATTGTGATCCACACAGTCAAAGGCTTTGGCATAGTCAATAAAGCAGAAATAGATGTTTTTCTGGAACTCTTGCTTTTTCGATGATCCAGCTGATATACATGAAAAGGTTTGGGGGAATCTTAATGCCTATTACTAAGTCAAAGAAACCAATCTGAAAAGGCTATATACTCTATGATTCCAATTATATGACATTATGGAAAACTCAAAACTGGAGACAATAAAAAACATATGTGATTTCCAGGAGTTTAGGGGTAAGGGAGGAGGAATAAGTGCAACGTAGGGATTTTTAGAGCTGTGAATTTATTCTGTATGGTAGTATAGTTGTGATTACATATCATTTTACATTTGTCCAAACTCAGAATTTACAATTCAAAGTGTGAATCCTAACATAAACTAAGGACTTTAGTTAATAATTATGTGTCAGTGTTGGTTTATCAATTGCAACAGTTCTACACTGGTGCAGGATGTTGATGGTGAGGAAAGCTGTGTGTGTGTGTCTGTGTGTGTGTGTGTAGGAATTGGGTATATCGGGTCTCTGCTATGTTCTATTCAATTTTGCTATTGCCCTGAAACTTCCCTAAAAAGTAAAGTCTATTGTAAGTATGCTTGGGCATGAATACATAGATACACTCATTCAACTATAAGTTTTATAAACTCTAAATACCAATCAAATATTTCCAGTGACAATTTACTGTCCAAAATGAAATGTACTGTAAGTATAAAATATACAGTAGATTTCAGATTTAGTACAAAAGAATATAAAATATCTCATTACTGTTCTCTATTGATTACATGTTGAAATGGTAATATTTTTGACATATTGGTTAAATATCAGAATTTCAGTGTTTTTTTTTTTTTTTTGACAGCACCATGCAGCTTGTGGGATCTTAGTTTCCTGACCAGGGATCGAACCCAGGACCTTGGCAGTGAAGGAATGGAGTCCTAACCACTGCCAGGGAGTCCCCTCACCTGTTTTTTAAAGGAGGCTACTAGAAGATTTTTAAGTTACGTAGGTAGCTTGCATTATATTACTAAACAGTGTTGCACAGGATATTCACCTGGCTTGTTCTCGCACCACAGCTTCAGAAAGGCCCTCCCTGGTTATCCTATTTGAAATAGCACTCTTCCATCAACATTTATTTATTCAGATCTAATTTTTCTCATAGGATTTATCACTGAGTATAGAAAGTAATTATCGCTCCCTTTGCCATATAAGTTCCATGAAGGCAGCAACTGTCACTGTTGTATCCCTTGTACTCAAAACAGTTCTCTACTCAACAAGTAATTGAAAGAATGATCCATGTTCTTTCATGATGGATTCTTTAGGCTTATGTGTTAGGGAGTGGGGTGGACAGCATCTTGAAGACTTAATAAATATTTGAAGAATGAATTCCAAATTCACATTTCAGGGTCTCTCGGCATTTCAGCCCTCCATTTCCAAATACAGAAAACTACATTTGTATGTCTTCAAGTTCATTCTGCTGCCACCTCCAATCTGCTATTCAACCCATCCTCCAGTGGATTTTTCATTTCAGTTACTGTACTTTGCAATTCTAGAATTCTCATTAGGTGTTTATTTAAACTTATTTATTTTTAATTGGAGGATAATTGCTTTACATTATTGTGTTGGTTTCTGCCAACATGAATCAGCCATAGGTATAATACATATGTTGCCTCCTTCTTGAACTTCCCTCCCACCTCCCAGCCCATCCCACCCTTCTAGGTTTTCACGGAGTACTGGGTTGAACTCCCTATGTCATAGAGCAGATTTCCACTGGCTCTCTAATGTTACATGTGGTAATGTATATGTTTCCGTGTTACTCACTGCGCTCATCCCACCCTCTCCTCACTGCCCTGTGTCTGCCGTCTTCATTGCTGCCCTGCAGATACGTTCATCAGTACCATCTTTCTAGATTTCATATATATGCATTAATATACGGTAGTTTTTCCCTTTCTGACTTCACTCTGTGTAATAGGCTCTATCATTAAGTTTCTATAACTTTTGTTTCTGTGCTAAGATTCTCTGATCACTCATACTTTCGTTTAATCTTTGAACATGTTTTTAACACCTACATTAGCAAATAACAATATAACAACAGTAAAAGAGGCCATCTCAATTTTTCTAGCTATGGATCACAATTTCTTTTGTCTTTGTATATCCAGTAATTTTTTAAATTGAATACTGAGTACTGTGTATCTCTTGTAGAAATTAAGAATTGTTATCTCCTGAAAACTGATGATTCTTCTAGCCAGTACTTCAGATCCTAGGTGGTCACCTTAAACTAGTGTAGGCTTGGTTTGATGCTTCATTAGTTTGTATCTGTGGAAAGCAGAGAGTTTCATAAATTCTAACTTGGCAGGACTCAGATCTCCATCCTCTGACCCCGCTGCTGGTTGTGTCAGAGCATGTTGGGGCAGTCTACAGTAGGTCTTGCTCCGGTGTATGGTCTTGACTCCTAAAGTGCAGTCTTTCTAGTGTTTTAGCTGGAGGCACTGTTGTTAAGGAGAGTTCCAACTTAGGAGGCCCAGACACTCAGTGTTCTCAGCCCTGTTTTTATGCCAGCCACTGCTTGACCTCGGGTATCTCTGTTCCATTCTCCTCTTTGTCACAACTGCTATTCAGTTAAGTATCAGGTGGTCTTGCAATGGTTATATACCCTGTCCTCAGGCATGGACTTGTGGGGACCCCTTTATGGATTTCTGAGGCCACCTCTAAATAGCTTCCTTCTCTGACACCCCACCCCACAGATTGCAGCGTCTCAGCTGCTCCCCACGTGATCTCCATCTTGGCTTACACTCCAGCCTCTTTACACCCCAGGGAGCAGGGTGACTGTGGGGCTCAACTGCTCAAGTTTCTCCTCTCTTGAGAAATTTCAGTTTTGTGCTACCTGAAAACAGTTGCTTAATATATCAACATCTTGTCCAGTTTTATAGTTGCTACTAATCCAGGAGGACTAGATAAGTTACTAAATCATAGCCAGAGGCAGAAGTTGGCATTCCCTCAGATTTTCTGATGTGGATCTAAGGAAGGAGAAGCAGCGTCTCTCAGGGGGCAAAACTAAGAAAACCTGACCTGCTAGAAATCTTGGTTAGAGCTTTGAGGTGGGGAGCTGGTCTGAGAGAACGAAGAACAAGTAGAGAGAAGCAGAAACGAGAGAGGTGAAGCAAAGCTGTCCGCGTTCAAGTCCCTGTTTCTGTTATCGTCAAGTCCAGGAGAAATTTACCCTGTAAGAATTTGCTTACATGGACCATTAAATTTCCCCCCTCCCGCCCCGTCTTTTTGTCTGGGATAGTTGGTTTAATTTTCATCTAGAACCCTTAGTGAGGGGTATCTTTTAAAAGGAATTAAATTAGATGTAGTCCAATTAGAATGGAATGTTAATGGCCCACATGTGATGTTAAGACTCAATAACCTAAACCTTGAAAATGAATTCATGTCACATTGTCTTGTAGGAGCTATATGGTAAAACATGTGAGAGAACAGAAGTTTCCAAGGTCAGCCATTATGGGAAGTGACTACCTGCCTCATAAGTATGTTGGGTTGTTTTTTTGTTTTTTTTTTTTTAATTCTCTACCCTCATAGTCTAGCAAATTTTGTTATAGGATGATACAAATGAGAAGTCAAAAAACGGATATAATCTTAAGACTTTTAAATAAAGGGATATGTTTGAGAAATGACTTTGCAGTCGTATTCACATTTTCTCTGGAACCATTTTTTCATGTATATTTTATATCTGCATTTTCTCTTTATTGGGTCAGTAACAAATAACCCGAACTTACGCGGTTCTCCCTATCTTACCCCTTCCATACTACTTTTAGCCTCATTTCTATTCTCCTTGCTCATAAGACTGTAGCCTCACAATTGCACTGTTTCAGTTATGTGAAAATCTGATTATCTGGAACTTTATAGGCCTTGGAACCTTGGAACTTTGTTTAATTTATAATGGAATAAATGTTTTATATATGAATAACAGTCAGAAAAATAGGAAAACAAGTTTAATTTTTAATTTATTAGAACCCAGTAAGTGATGATTTTAAAAGCAGAGTTTCCATCAAATTAACATGGAATTCAGGGCAAAAATACATTTAAAAAACAAACTAAGGCAGAAGTAAAACATTATAAAACGAGGATGTCTAATACAGACTGTAGAATGTCAGGATTTTAAGAGAGTCACATAGTATTTTATAGCACTAAAATGTTAATACAGTCAGAAATATTATCAATTGATCCACGATTTCTCAGTTTATAAAATGTCTAGACACTGCTAATTGAAGCAGTTTTGCTGTGTAAGTAGTAGCTACCATATAACCAAGTGACTGTTTTTATGACAAAGGAGCTAAGGCAGGAAATTTCATGGTTTTCATTTGTAAAGATTTTACAGTGTTTAAATATAAAGTATTACTAGCAATATGTTTTAGATTCATCTTTCCACCCTAACTTCCAAAAGGTATACATCACTTCCCTTTAATTCCATTTAAAAAAATGCTGTAAACTATCATTATAGGCCTGACTCTACTCACAGCAAAAGCATGAATTACTTACTTTGATGTGGTAGAAAAAACAATTTTAGTAAATCACTACATCTTTTCTTGGTTGCTAAATATTTTAAACAGAGATCTAAGAATTTTTGCACCTCCAATAAGTAAACCACCTTTTTTTTTAACCTCTGTTAAGTTTGAATTTTGACTAGAACCTGAGTTATAGGGCGGGGGTAGAAGAAAAGCATCTCATGTTCATGTGCAATTAACAGTAGCCCTTCTGAAAAACATAGTTAACAAGTTTAAATTTCTCATGATCAAAACCTTTTCTTTAGGAGGAGGGGGATAATATTTAAAAGTGCTTTCAATCAGAAAATATGGATTAGCTAGCTTGCATATTCTACTGAAGGGTGTCAAAAAAGACAAATGCATTTAAAATAATTTTTAAGTCTAATAAATATGAGGTTTATGGGCTCTTAACTAACATATTAAGTAGATACAAAGATTCTTCATCTTCATTACAAACTTTTAAGCTATTTTAATAAAATGGCTGTAGACCTCACTGTACTTCTGTTTATCTGTGCATTAATAAAAACCTGTTAAAACTGCTTATTTAATACTTCTGAAAAAGTCTAGTCAAATAAGATCGCTAAAACTACCAGAGAAGCTTTGAAATACTGACTGAAAATTCATTTTAAGGTTGATTTAGCCTCTTTCGGAATCTGGCATTTAAATCATTAATATCTTCACCAACTTTAACTCTGAAAATATAAAAATTTTAGCCAGTAATGGTTATAAACAGTATTGATAGTATGTGAAAAAATAAAAATATGATCATCAATCATGCATTTCACAATTTCATGAAGTAAGGTAAGTATAACTCATAAATATTGTTATGTCTTTGCAGGTTTTCTCAGCTTACATCAGGCCTCAGCTGAAAGCTTATCTACCAAACACATTGGCACTCATGTAAAGTAAGGACAGGAGGGGGTGACTGCGCGTTGCTGCCCAGTGTTTGGCTTCAGGTGCCTCTCTCTTATGAAACTGTTCTAGGATAACTCCTTGAACAGCATGAGAAAAGAGTGGATAGAACAGAACACCTGTTGGGCTAACAAGAATATGTTAGTGTATAAAAAGTTTTTCAGCTGAATAATTGTTCTCACTGTGGTTCTGCTATGCACAACATATAAACTGTACAACCATTTTTCCTGTTTGTCTCTTTGTGGAAAGTATTAGGCTCAATAAAATGTAAAACATACATTAGTTTGCTTTAAATGCAAAGATTAAAGTTTTTCTTACTTTGTTTTTGGCTCAACTGTAACATAACCCCAGAAGTCTCTGCTTTAATAATACAATATGAAAAGTTCACATATGTACATGGGTACATTCTTTCATTAAAATTTTTCATTAAATCTATCTCAATGTATCTTTACAACTGATACAACTGATCTTTACAACAAAAGTCAAAATAGACAAAGTAGAAATGATTCCATTTTACAGCACTTTAGGTTATCTGAAGTTTTCCTTCACGGCTTAAAGGGCATCATTGAAATGTTGCTTTCCATAGTCTGCAGGATCCATCTGAAGTTCTCGTTCTTCATCATCTATAAGGAAAATAATCAGGTATCAAAAATATTATTTTTAAAATCACTTGCAGAAATCCAATCAAATAATATCTTTTTTCCCCCTTCAGCCTAAATGTAGTTTTCTACTCATCTTACACCTTCTGTAAATAGTGTTCTGTTTCTTAAGATGCTTTGGTTAATGAGTAAAAAGTCTGTAACTATTTTGGAAGATCACTTAATTTTAACAAATCTTTTGATGATAGAGAAGAAAAAAGCAAAGGAATGGAAGAAAGGAAGGAAAAGAGGAGGGGAAAGGGAGAGAAAGGGAGAAAGAAAGATGGGAAAGAAGAAAGAGGATGAAGGAAAGAAGTAGCGAAGCTTTAGGGCCCCATAAGCACTGAGGAGTCGGTCCTTTTATATATGTGTATTATTTCTTTATAGATGAAAGCCCTTTAATGCTTTGATAGAAATTGTTCTTTATACATTTTCATGCCTTTAAAAAACAAACACTTTTTCTAATAATACAATTAATCCATAGCCATCATGTAAAAATTAGAAAATAAAAGGAAAATAAAAGTTACTCATAACCCCCATATTTAACATTTTAGTGAATTTCTTTGCTCTTCTGCAAACAGCTTACCAGAAACTTCCAAAACGGAGTATATTAACTAAAAAAAAAACTTTTCTTGACCAAAAAACAGAAAAAAAAACTATTATACAATATCACTGGACACTAACATCCTCAAAGTCACTTTTAGTAGCTATATTAAACAACTTCACCTAGTGCTTCAGAGTGCAACTTATTTGGCTGCTGACAGGTTGTTCTGGGTCCTTGGCTATCACCTGTCACTTCACTACTCTCAGCTTAACTACCAATAAATTCTTCCTTCTAGTTTTATAGTTATTTCTATCTTCAGGTTTTGAAGTAAGACTGCTCAGAGTATTAAAATTAGTATTTTAATTAGAGCTTAAGAGGCTCTATAGTTTTTTAGTACATGGTTTTTAATGACATCTTTTGGCTCCTCCACAGCCTTAAAAATAACTTTAAAAACTGGGTAACTTAAAAATTACCCAATAGGTTAGTTTTTGACAGACTGAAGTATTACTATCATAACTGGGAAATAAAAATTTAAAGAAGGTTATATGTTGATTTCCAAATTCATATGTATACTATAGCTATCTTCAATCTATTCTTTGAGGTTTGATAGGTTTTCTACTCTCTAGTGTAGCCTATGGTAACATTTTGTTCAAAGAAAGATGCCATGTGGTCTATGCACTCTGTATGTAATGTGCCAAGTAGAGTATGTGTGAGTCGCTCAGTCGTGTCTGACTCTCTGTGACCCCACGGACTGCAGCCCGCCAGGCTGCTCTGTCCATGGGATTCTCCAGGCAAGAATACTGGAGTGGGTTGCCATTTCCTTCTCCCCAAGTAGTGTATGTACTATGTATTAACTTTCCATAATGACATGTTATTTCTTCTTTACAGTTATTAACAATGCCAAACAAACCAACTTTCTCTCACCCTTCAATAACTTTCCTGTTAATCTCGTATTTTTAATACTGTAATTCAATAGGAATGGTAACCCCAAATCTGTTATTTGCAAAGGCTGAAATTATATCCATAATCACATTTGTATTTTGAAAATATACTGATCATTCTCTTATTAAAGAACTCTTTGTACTTTAAGAAATTATCTTGGTTTTGAAAGGGAAATAATCATAGGCACCTCTGTGGAACACTCTCCTTAGGACCCATGTCATGGGAACTCACTATGTGGCTATAAACACATCTTTCAGGACTTTAGTAACTAGATGAAGACAATCACCACAGAGCAGTGGGGAAAGCTACTGTATAAAGGAGGATTTCTAGAAAATTAACAGGAAAATTGTGAAAAGGAAAAATGAGATTACTTTTGAGACTTTAAATAATTGTAAAGAGAAAACAAGAGCAAAGTTATGGGAATAGAAAAACTGAATTCTAGTCCTGGCTGAGGCACTTAACAAACTTGACCTAGTTCCTAAACCTCTTTAGACTTCTAATTACCTTCTTGGTAGAATAGGGATAATAACTATTTTTCCTACTTCAAAGTATATTAATGCACAGGAAGGCAGTCTTTACTTCTGAAAGTCCTCTGTAAACGGAAGGAGGAATCTGTTGGTTTTACTAATTTATGCCTTACAGCAAATTTTAATATGGTGTCTTCACACTGCTTCCCATAATCTCATAGTACTTCTGATTGCCTTTTTCTTACACTGAGCCATCATCTACATGAACTAGAGTTCACTCCCAGTGTAGCTATTCTGACCAGAATTCAAGTTCTACCAACAACTTCTTCACATTTATCTATAAATACAACGAAATTACCTAACCAAATCTGATATAGGATAACAGCCACTAAATATAATTATATGGACTAATATTTTATTTCATTTTACAAAGCAGCAAAATCTGTAAATAACTCAGCAACATAAAATGATTATTAAATATAAAGATATTTATAATTTATCAAATAATTTCTACACTCTCTCTTGAGTCAAGAAAGGACCACCTCCAAAAAGGAAGCTCTAACAAGCAAGAATGCCTTGGGGAAATAGGCAGTGAGGTTCCATTAAAATGTACAGGTTAATACACAGGCCAAAGTGCAATTATCCTGTAAAGCATGCAAATGAGGGGGAAAAATTCTATAATTGTTTTACTTTTTAAAAAAGTACTTTATTCAACAAACACAATATAGTGCTTACAGTGTGAAAGATCCTATTCTAAATGCTGAATAAATATTTAAATCATATAATCCACATAACAATTGTTGAATTAGGTAACTATATTTATCCTTGTTTTACAGTTGAGGATTCTGAGGCACAGAGGTATAGGTAATTCACAAGGTCACAGAGCTAGGAAGTGGTGGAGCTTCGATTTAGAAGCAGCCTGGCTCCAGAATCCAGGGACTTGGGCGCTATGCTAAACTTCCCTCCATAGATATATTATACTCAGTAATGTACACTTCATATTCTAGTCGACAGACTTGACACTTCTATAGGATTAAAGATAAGAGTAAAGGGAATTTGTAAACATCCATATCCTTATTATAATAAAAAATGACTTAAAAGATACATCCATCAGATGTGTAGTGTTTCCAGATTTCATCTTTTAGTTAACTTTTTCATTGGGAAGTCAGGGAAAAGATATTTATAGCAATGTAAATAAATATTTCTTTCGGTCAGGATGCTTCAGGAAACCAGGAATTAAAAATCAAACCAGGACTGTAAATTCAGGAAAAACAGGCTTCACTTAACTCTCCAGAAAACACTCTGCAGGCAGCACTGACCCGAACGATCAATATGCTTAAACAGGCATCAGAGATCAATCTGGGATTCTTCAGCTTCTTCTTGGCAGTGGAAGTGAAAAGTGAACGTCGCTCAGTCGTGTCCAGCTGTTTGCGACCCCCATGGACTATACAGTCCATAGAATTCTCCAGGCCAAAATACTGGAGTGGGTAGCTGTTCCCTTCTCCAGGGCATCTTCCCAACCCAGGGATCAAACCCAGGTCTCCCGCATTGCCGGCGGGTTCTCTCCCAGCTGAGCCACAAGGGAAGCCCTAGAATACTGGAGTGGGCAGCCTGCCCCTTCTCCTGACCCAGGAATTAAACCAGGGTCTCCTGCACTGCAAGAGGATTCTTTACCAGCTGAGCTAGAGACTCTGTCAAAGCCTGCATTTCATAATTCAGAATTTCAGAGACCAAAGTTGGTGTCCTTAGCTGAAGCTAGAACCTCAGTCCCACACACAGAATCTCTAATACAAGGGACCCAACAGCTTGAGGAAAAACAAAACAAAACAAACAAAAAAAACTGCTCCTAATCCTATGGGGAGTAGAGTAGAGCCCCTAATGGTAGAACCGTTCAAGTGCTTCTAAAGTGCAAGCTTCAATTTTTGAAATCTCTGCCTGCAGAGTTTTGGTGGTGGCATAAAGTTTCCACTTTCTTTCCAGGGTTTGGGGAAAGATGTTGTTTTAGGCATGCTGAAATATGAAACACATTTGCCCCTAACACTTGTATATAGTGATTCCACCATGAATGCGACCACAACATTTTAAAACTGAGAAGGACCATGTTTATTTTAGTTCAACACCCTTAGATTGCGGATGAAGAAATGGTGGCCGAGAGAGGACAAAAGACCCGAAAAGTAACACACAGCTGGTCTCCTCATTCTGAGGCATTAAAGAATGGGAAAAAACTTCCCATTCTACTGCCCGCTTTGGCTTCACATGCAACCTGACCTGGGAACCCAACTATTATTTCTACATAGAATCTATGAATAAATTCTTTTAACTACTGTAATAATAATCATTTGAAGTACATATTGTTGATAAGCCAGAGAAGAACCATAATTTTCCCTCCCCATGTTTTAGACAGTTAATACTATATCTAAAGAATCTCTGAAACATATTTAAAATTATTCAGGTTTCCAGTATATTCCTTTTTAGTCAGTTCACACAAACTTCTCCCCCTGTGTTTGCTGGAGCGGATGTTCTCGCATCTTTCTGTTCCCTGTGGTAAAGGAGTCCCTTGGAAGCTGCCCTATCCTGCTGCTGGCTATCATCTAGTGAACCTCAAAATGGGATTAAAAAAAATGTCAAATTACAACCCCCTGCTCAAGTAAGATTCACGTGCAGATGAGGAAATCCCTGAAATTTAACCATCCCCTCCCTACTTAACTGAGAATATCACCTTATGTCATTTCCTTATATGCATTAGAGTCAATGGATTTATTTTCTTGTGGAAGGAAAGGCAGGGGTAGCATGAGGGTACCGGGGACCTAAAGTAGAAAGTGGCCATGAGAACCAGGAGTAGGAGAGGGAGAAGAGAAAGAAGGCACTGAAGATAAATGTATTGTGGATAAAAGTCATAAAAATATCAAATGAGAATTTTGTAGCCATCACCGTTAAGGCAGCCAAAGTATAAGATGGTTTTCAATTATCATTGAAATAAACTGTGCCAATGAAAACCTCAGAATTACCCAATGAGATGACAGAAGTGTCTATGAAAGAAAAATAAGAGAATGTTTAAAGCTTAAATTAAGCAAGACTGTAAGACCAGAAGTTAATGGGTTATTAACCTAGTCACAGTTATAAGAATAAAAGCTCAATGGGACAGGCACAAAATGATCAGTTAACAATATTTACCAAGGGCCCTATGGATGCTAAGGGCTAATTTGGGAGGGTGTGAAAATGAAGGCAGAAAATGATGCAAACAAAATAGAAGGAAAAATAAATGAAAATTCCTGCCCTCCAAGAGCTTACAGTCTAATTGGTGATATGATATACATGCATGAGAAAGCCTTAAAACAACATTATAATAACTGCAAATAAATATAATCCAAACAAATTACAAAAGCAATGAGAAAGAAAAGATTTATGAAAAATGGATGAGACTAGAAAAATGAATGAGTACAATTTTCTCAATGATACCAAAAAATGTTTGAGAAGTTCTCATTAATATATCCTATGTAACTATAAATCTCTTTCTATTCCCAATAACCATTCTTCCAACACTAGAATGTACTATCAAAATAATGCCTAGGTGGAAGTCAGAGTCACCAGTTCCCCTTTTTCTATTAAATATGGAACATTCTAGGACAACTATATTATCTTGAGTTTTACAGAGATAATTCTTGTCAGGAACCTAAATAGAACTGAATTACTTTAAAAAGAGTTAAGAAAGAAATCAAGACAGATTACATTGAAAAATACTTCATGCAATGTATTATAAAATTGAATACATCACACATTAAGTTCATAATCAATTTTGATAAAGACAAAAAGCTCCAGAAATACTACTAAATGATACAAGCAGGCAGAAAACAGGCCTAAGAACTCGCAGTAAAGCAACGTATTCGGATGCATGCATGGGTAGGGAGCATGCACACAGGTGGATTCTGAACTTTCGCTAAGTTCAGAGTTCAGAGGAACAGTTAACAGGGAAAATATGTTGAATCTGTGTATTAAACATAAAACAGACAAATCTTCACAAACTGTTAAGGATAAACTTTAAACCTCTCAGAAAAATTTTAAAAACAGACTTCCTCTGCTGAATCATTAGTGAAATAGTCTTATCTTCAGTGTGGAAGAGACCATTCCCTTTGTGGCTGTCTGGTCAAAATCTGTACCTAGAATGATTACATGTTTTCAGATGAGAAACTGGAAAAGAATTATCTTCTGGGAGTATTTGCCTTAGGTAGAGTCTAGAGCCAGTTTAAACAATTGAGTGCTAACATTTCTGAAGTGTTTGAGCTTCAAATTCACTACAGGCACTGAAACATGTAACATAATGACTAAAAATGAAAACAGTTAAAATGATCTATTTAAAGATCTGTAAATGCCCCATCAACACTGGTTTTCAAAATAAAATTGAAAAACTGCACAGAATACCTCTCTGTATGAAGATCATACTGCTAATAAGTGGGGAAAGTTCTACACAAATTCAACCAAAAAACTTAGGAGGTGGGTTTCACGGTCACGGCATGGAGGCCAGGCCCAAGCTCACCTTGGACGTCTTCCTCTCCACCATCACCATCTTCTTCCTCATTGTAAGCCAGCTCAGCCTGCTTGTCTGCCTCATACTCACCTACGTTACCATCATCCCCATTATAATCCGCCAGTTTAGAGCCATGCTGCGGATCAACAGGGGATTCATTCTCATCAAAGAATCGGCCTGTGAAGTAGGCAGAGGATTAAATCAAGAGTGAAGAGAGAAGAAAAGAAGGGACCTATATTGGAGGGAGATCAGAAGGTAGACAAGTGAAACCTGGCAACTTTCAGGATACTGGTTATAAAAAAAAAAAAGATACATTTTCTGAAGGTTATTTAAGATAAAAGGAAATAAGAATGAAGACCGAAAATAATTTTCAGAATTTCTCCTGTGTATTAATTTCAGTACTTACTATTTAAGGTTTGAATGTTTTCTTAAAGAAAAGGGCACAGTTTTCTAAAATGTTTTCCTAATACCAATAACTTTTCTGATAGAAGTATTTGTCTAACTTAACACTTAAGGAGAGTCAAAAATTCTGAGTAGATACAATACATGCACGAAACCTGCAGTCACTTACTGCTTTATAAATGTTACTTTCCAGGAATGACTTTGATAACTTTTCTTATCAGAATAAATGAGTACCATGTAAGCTTGTGGAAACGATGTAGTTTCTTTTTGGAAAATAAGACAGACTAACACACTGGTGGGCTATCTTACGTTTCTTCAGTTAACAGTGGTTCACCACGGCCATGGGTTTCCAAGGAGGTGTGACAAAAAGTAAATTACCAGAATCCCTAGTAGTGTGCGTTTTGAAAAACATCCCAAGAAATTCTGATTTATTCTTTCTCATTTCCCAAACCAGACTTCTGAAAGTCAATGATAAAGGAAGCTTAATAAAGCTGACCTACATAAGGCTATTATATTGCACACATTCATTGTAACTAGAAATCAAGAAGAGCAATAGATATAGCATGTACTATAAAAAGCTATTCAACAAATGGACATCAAAAATAAAAATGTTAGGCAAACTAAGATCTGACTCCCAAACACAAATTAAACTCTATTTGACATTAAATTTAAGTAGCATAAAAGTAAATTTGATTCCAATCCCTAAAATATGAATATCATTAACTTACTGGTTATATAAGAATTTAAGACTTTTAGAAATTATAAAAACTCTGTGATAGGTTTAAAATGTGGGGAATTATATTCTTAAAATTCACACTGCAATGAGACAAACTTCCTCTGCTTGGAAAGAAAGGTTAAGTTCAAAGAGAAAGAATTATGGAGGTATTGGTCAATTCCACAGATGGCTCACCACGTCATCAGGCCAATATATTTCTAACTGCTAAACAGACAGTCAATCAGAAAATATCCAAAATACATAAACAGCTTATATAACTCAATATCAAAAACACAACCTGATTAAAAAATGGACTGAATAAACATTTTTCCAAAGACATACAGATGGCCAACAGGCACATGAAAAGAGGCTCAACAACATTAATTATTAGAGAAGTGCAAATCAAAACCACAATGAGGTATCATCTCACACTGATCAGAATGGCTATCATAAAAAAGCCTATAATAATAAATGCTGGAAAGGGTGTGGAGAGTAGGGGATCCTTGTACACTGCTGATGGGAATGTAAATTGGTGCAGTCACTATGGAAGTTCCATAAACAACTAAAAATAGAACTATCATATGATCCAGCAATTTTACTCTTGGGTATATATCTGAGGAAAATGCAAACACTGAATCAAAAAGATATATGGGCCCTAATTTTCATTGCAGTATTATTTACAATAGTCATGATATGGAAGCAACCTAAGTGTCCATCAAAGGATAAATGGATAAAGAAGATGTGGTGTATATATATCAGATATATACTTAACTATAAAAAAGAAGGGAATTTTGCCATTTGCAACAACATGGATCGGCCTGGAGGGCATTATGCTTAGTGAAATAAGTCAGAGAAAGATACATACTCTATGTTATCACTTATATGTGGAATCTAAAAATCAAGACAAACTGAAGAATACAAGAAAACAGAAACAGACTCATAGAGAACAAATTAGTGGTTACCAGTGGGGAGAGAGGAGGGAAGTACAAGATAGAGGACTAAGAAGTACAAACTGTTACGTATAAAGTAAATAAGCTATGAGGATATATCCTCCAACACAGGGAATATAGCCAACATTTTATACTAACTTTAAATGGAGTATGAGCTATAACTTTTGAATCACCGTGTTGTACACGCGAAAACGATGTGCCCCTGTAACAGCCATGCAGCAAATAAGAAGCCGCCGACCGCTCCCTCTCTCAGCGAAGAACGGCTAAGGAGCGGGCCAGACTCACACGGGGTCTGAGGGAAGCTAAGGAGCGGGCCAGACTCACACGGGGTCTGAGGGCAGCTAAGGAGCGGGCCAGACTCACACGGGGTCTGAGGGCAGCTAAGGAGCGGGCCAGACTCACGCGGGGTCTGAGGGCAGCTAAGGAGCGGGCCAGACTCACACGGGGCCTGAGGGGGCAGCTAAGGAGCGGGCCAGACTCACACGGGGTCTGAGGGCAGCTAAGGAGCGGGCCAGACTCACACGGGGCCTGAGGGGGCAGCTAAGGAGCGGGCCAGACTCACACGGGGTCTGAGGGCAGCTAAGGAGCGGGCCAGACTCACACGGGGTCTGAGGGCAGCTAAGGAGCGGGCCAGACTCACGCGGGGTCTGAGGGCAGCTAAGGAGCGGGCCAGACTCACGCGGGGCCTGAGGGCAGCTAAGGAGCGGGCCAGATTCACACGGGGCCTGAGGGCAGCTAAGGAGCGGGCCAGACTCACACGGGGTCTGAGGGGGCAGCTAAGGAGCAGGCCAGAGTCACACGGGGTCTGAGGGGGCAGCTAAGGAGCGGGCCAGACTCACACGGGGTCTGAGGGGGCAGCTAAGGAGCGGGCCAGACTCACACGGGGTCTGAGGGGGCAGCTAAGGAGCGGGCCAGACTCACACGGGGTCTGAGGGGGCAGCTAAGGAGCGGGCCAGACTCACGCGGGGCCTGAGGGCAGCTAAGGAGCGGGCCAGACTCACACGGGGCCTGAGGGCAGCTAAGGAGCGGGCCAGATTCACACAGGGCCTGAGGGCAGCTAAGGAGCGGGCCAGACTCACACGGGGTCTGAGGGCAGCTAAGGAGCGGGCCAGACTCACGCGGGGTCTGAGGGCAGCTAAGGAGCGGGCCAGACTCACGCGGGGTCTGAGGGCAGCTAAGGAGCGGGCCAGACTCACGCGGGGCCTGAGGGCAGCTAAGGAGCGGGCCAGATTCACACAGGGCCTGAGGGCAGCTAAGGAGCAGGCCAGACTCACACGGGGTCTGAGGGGGCAGCTAAGGAGCAGGCCAGAGTCACACGGGGTCTGAGGGGGCAGCTAAGGAGCGGGCCAGACTCACACGGGGTCTGAGGGGGCAGCTAAGGAGCGGGCCAGACTCACGCGGGGCCTGAGGGCAGCTAAGGAGCGGGCCAGACCCACACGGGGTCTGAGGGGGCAGCTAAGGAGCGGGCCAGACTCACACGGGGTCTGAGGGCAGCTAAGGAGCGGGCCAGACTCACACGGGGTCTGAGGGCAGCTAAGGAGCGGGCCAGACCCACACGGGGTCTGAGGGGGCAGCTAAGGAGCGGGCCAGACTCACGCGGGGCCTGAGGGCAGCTAAGGAGCGGGCCAGACTCACACGGGGTCTGAGGGCAGCTAAGGAGCGGGCCAGACTCACACGGGGTCTGAGGGCAGCTAAGGAGCGGGCCAGACTCACACGGGGTCTGAGGGCAGCTAAGGAGCGGGCCAGACTCACACGGGGCCTGAGGGCAGCTAAGGAGCGGGCCAGACTCACGCGGGGCCTGAGGGCAGCTAAGGAGCGGGCCAGACTCACACGGGGCCTGAGGGCAGCTAAGGAGCGGGCCAGACTCACGCGGGGCCTGAGGGCAGCTAAGGAGCGGGCCAGACCCACACGGGGTCTGAGGGGGCAGCTAAGGAGCGGGCCAGACTCACGCGGGGCCTGAGGGCAGCTAAGGAGCGGGCCAGACTCACACGGGGTCTGAGGGCAGCTAAGGAGCGGGCCAGACTCACACGGGGTCTGAGGGCAGCTAAGGAGCGGGCCAGACTCACACGGGGCCTGAGGGCAGCTAAGGAGCGGGCCAGACTCACACGGGGTCTGAGGGCAGCTAAGGAGCGGGCCAGACTCACACGGGGCCTGAGGGCAGCTAAGGAGCGGGCCAGACTCACGCGGGGCCTGAGGGCAGCTAAGGAGCGGGCCAGACCCACACGGGGTCTGAGGGGGCAGCTAAGGAGCGGGCCAGACTCACACGGGGTCTGAGGGCAGCTAAGGAGCGGGCCAGACTCACACGGGGTCTGAGGGCAGCTAAGGAGCGGGCCAGACCCACACGGGGTCTGACGGGGCAGCTAAGGAGCGGGCCAGACTCACGCGGGGCCTGAGGGCAGCTAAGGAGCGGGCCAGACTCACACGGGGTCTGAGGGCAGCTAAGGAGCGGGCCAGACTCACACGGGGTCTGAGGGCAGCTAAGGAGCGGGCCAGACTCACACGGGGTCTGAGGGGGCAGCTAAGGAGCGGGCCAGACTCACACGGGGTCTGAGGGCAGCAGCTTACAACAGGAAACTGTAGTAAATGGGGCTAGCAAAAAAGTTCATACAATCATCTTAAATCTATTCTAAAATAGAGTTGCGTATATACAATAAATAAATAAGTTGATAAAACAGAGGTAGAGAAAATAAATGGATGTACAAGAGTTAAGTGAAAAGAGAGTAACATGAGAAAAGAGGTTAGTTGTGAGGAAGACAACCTGTCTTCTAATGGCAGCGATACAAAAAAGAAAAATCTGGTGTCTATTATTATCTCTTTCTCTAATGATGAAAGATGCCAACGTAAGAAGGAAAAAAGATTTACAGAAAGTATATTTTGCTTTTCTTAATATGCAATATTATGGACAAAATGCCTGGAGCAGTTAAATCTTTATGCAATGTGAAACTACTGTTTTAAATACATAAACATTTTAACCTGGTAGTTACCAAGTGAATTTATCCAGGTACACAGTTTCCTCCAAGAAAATATTTTCATTTTTTATCAGAATTATGAAACAGAGACCAAAAATTAGTCTAAAAAGGTTATTGCAAAATACAATTAATTTAACTAAC